TAAACAAATGTTTACGCTACAGCTGTAAATGTGTACATCTGATGAGTGAGTGCTGTAATGCATGTGTGTTACCCCACTGCTCCTGGAGTGTATTCAGGTTGTCCAATATCCTCTGGTGATAGAGTCTCTCTAGTTGGATGCACCATAACGCCTGCTGGTCTGAACGCCATGGGTTAAGAAACACATGAATGATTACAACCGCACCAAGTCCAGACTTTTTTATAAAAAAAAATTTTTTAAAAACTGTTACCACTGAAAAAAGTAAAAGGAGAAAAAAGGAAAGAGTGAAAAAAATAGAAAGACAGAGTGAGGAGGAGTGGAGGAAATCTAGAGAGGCCAAAAGACACAGAGGGAGAGAGTGCTCTTGGATGCAGTCTCTCATGTTTATGGATATGAGCAGCGAAAACACAATCCTTCTTTGAAATGCCTCAATGCATTCTCTCTCTTACTCTCTCTCTATACATGCATGACATCGCTAAGCTCGCTTTCTCTTCTGTTTGACCCTTTTATTTCTTCCCTCCCACTGTGTCTCTTGCCTCAGATTAAACCTCTGTGAAAATATCCTATTCTTTCTCATTCTTGCTCTCCAGCATTTCATCTTCACTTTCATACATTCCCATCCCTCCTCCCACTTCATTTTATACTTTTTCTTTATTGAGTCTGCAAATGACGCATGCACAGTGCGGTGACAACATACCTATACCTAAAAACAGAGGTGACATAGTGATTCACGATAGACTGGTTGATTTATCAAAAGCTAAAACCCTCAGGCAGTTTGCATGATTTTATAATATCACTAACAAGCATCTTCATACCCACACATGCTCTATTACACACCAATTTGGCACATGGTGTCTTGGACCATTACAGAGAGCTAAATGATTATTTCCAAACAGAGAAATATAAGTCAAGCAGACATTAAATCAATCCAATAAATGGCTTTTCATTTGAGTGTCGAAAGTCCTTTCTGTTGACTCACAAATTATGTGTGAATGTTGCAATTGTTCCTCAACAGCCACGTTTAGCAAAGCATATTATAGTTTTATAGTAATCTCAGTATCAATTTCCCTCTATGTGTGTGCTCTCTTTCTCTGAGCCTCTCTACCCACATTCTATAGAAGCCAGCTCATATAGTGGTACAACTTTGTTTCACCATCTGCAATTTTCTCTGCAATTCTTCTCTCTTCCTTTTTGACTTTTCTCTAATCCCCTTCTCTTTTACACTATTACATCCTTAGTCTACTCCAACACTTGCACTCTTTTTAAACCACTTCAACTGTAAAGGCAGTCAGGCATCAAGTAATCTGCTTCACTGCAACCAGTTGCTCCAAATCCTCCAGCTCTGCAGTTCAGCATGTAAATAATACAATTTAAAATCATACGCTTGCAATGAAAAAGGAAAACACTTGTAAAGACAAGCAGGCGAGTAGCAAGGTGAGAACTCAGGACATAAATACATGACAAAAACATGAAAATAAAAGCTGCCCTCCTCCAGCAGCCCAACCACAACACACAGTGATAAGGATACAGTCTTTCTGAAGGACAAAGGCCTCAGCAATCTGCGAAGAGAGAGGGAGAGACAGAGATTATAAGCTTTGATAAAATGTATCCTTTTATCATTTCTAATCAAAAACCATGTGTTTTTAATCACATTTTCCATCAGGGTGCTACTATCAGAGGTGTTTAAAACCAGACTGAAACTATTCCTCAAGTTGAAGAAACAATATAAGTTAAGTAAAGGTAGAATCTTACCAAATTCAAGAACACTAAGTGAATAAACATCGATATAAATCACTAAACAAAGCTGAAGCAGAGAAACTGCACTGCTGCAGCTATAATCATTCACTTAAGCAGAAAACCACAATCTGACCTGAGAAACATAATACAACAGTAAAGCAAATGTGCTGCATTTAGGACACACCGACTGAAAATGAGAGTGAAAAGAAAGAGAAAAACAAGAGACCGTGGTCGACACTCTACCTCTCCTCAGCAAGTGTCGCTTTCAAGCTGCTCAGCTGATCACAGAACAAGAGAAGTGTGTGAGTGAGTGTGAGTGTGTGCAAGAAAGAGAGGGGGCGGAGAGAGGGGGGAGGAAAGGAGGGCACAAAATGCTCTTGCATTTCTAATGAAGTGAGTGCTAGCCTGACGTCAGAATCACTTCTAGAAAACTGTAATGACATGGTGAAATAAAAGAATTAAGTTGAAACAAAGGAGTTTAAGTCCCTTCTTTTGTTTTTGGCTTTAGTAACACATCTGTTACATCACAGAAAAGCAACACATAAACAAAAAGTGCTGCTCAATCTTAATATACAGGGAAAAACTCTTTCTAAAAATATGAAACTAACACTGAAAATGTGAAAATAGATATAAATGTAATGATGAAAATTGTTTTTTTCATTCCTTCCAATATGAGAATATTGGGACATTATGTTTGATACCTAAAAACCTTTTGAATCTCAGTATTATGAATGGAACTCATTAAACTACAACGAATGCATATCTTTCTGAATCTCAACAGAGCCCAACATGTCATCAATAAAGTCTGAACAATTTGTCCATTCTTCTGTCATCCTCACTGGTTTTCTCTGATGGTTCTCCAGCTGTTCATATTTATGCTAATAGAATTGGCTTAAAACCACTCTCTCCCTTTACTACAACTAGTTTGCGGTTTATTTCAATAACTTAATTAGCTCATCATATTATTTGAACTTACTTTAATTAAAGGCTACATCTGTACCTGTTAAGGATAAACTCAACCAAAATATGTATGAAAATTTCATAGAAATCTTCATAAAACTCACTCGATTCAATTCTTTAACCTGGCTGACGTTCTTGTGATGTTGTTTTTTTGTCCATCTAAATTACTTTTTTTTTTCGGTCATGTCACATTCCAATGTAAACAGCAGCATGAATGAACAAAGACATCACAATCATGGTAGATGGAACCCGGACGTCGGTATGAAATACAACCAATTTATTTAAAAGACTTAAGAGGTACCAGTCTTTAATGAGACCTCTGAGTCATTATTTTGGGGAATATTAGACATTTTCAGAAGCAGTCCTATAGGTTTGGGCCTACTGAAGAATTTCCTTCAGGACTATTAAAGTTTTATCTTATCTGTTTCTAGGGGAGAGCAATTGTGAACCCTCATTGTAAGTGCGGTTTTGCTAATGAAACATTTGACTGACAATTATAATGTTTCGTTAAGACTTAAACTATAAAGCAAAAACACAGTCCTTTGTCACAGAAAAACAAATCACCAAATCATGTCTTTTTCCCTCATACACACACCTGTATGCCTGGAAGTAAGCATAGCTCAGGTGTGTCTGGTAGAAGCCGGTATAAATCAAACTGACAGTAATATCCACCCTCCCTACAACATACATGTTCAGTCATGTAGATGTGCATTAGGAAGAGAAACTCGCAGAGAAAGACTGAGACCACATGTTTTTTGTGTTGTGGGCATGTCTGCGTTTGTGTGCAGAGACCCTGAAGACGCCCTTGCCTTAGGGTACAAAGTGCCATTCCGATTATGGGGTTGAGTGGATAACAGTAATTAAATAACTAGTGTGGGGGCAAGAATTTGAAGAGACTAAAATGACAGACACCTCGAAACAACTGTGAGAAACCATTAAAGAGAAGAGTGTGCTCTTTTTAGTGGTCATACACAGCTCATAGTATCTGTCATATAGCAGAAGTAGGACTGACAGGTTACCTGGTGCAGGTAGTGTGGAAGGTGACCGTCATCTCCTTTTTCTGCCAACTGCTCCAGATATTTCAGCGAAGCCGGGCTTGGAATAGTCCCAGTTGAGCAGGTGGACACTGAGAAACAAGGGGGCACTGGTCTGGAAGTGATGTTTTCCCAGTTTGAGGTTATAGATCCTGTGGTGAAAGTGAGATCTGTACCTACAGTCGTTGGCCCTGTGGTGGAGGCAAGGGGTCCTGTAGTTGCACTCATAGTAGTGGAAGGCACGGAGGTATTGAGCCGTGTGGTGCAATCAGTTACTGTGAATGTCTCTGCGGTTGAGGTGACAGGTCCGACATATGAACTGGCAGACCCATGGCTGAAGACGGGCTCAGTAAATGAGGTAAGAAGTTCTGTAGTGGACTCAGCATTTTTTTCTATCCTGCTTGTAGTTTCTGTGATACATGTGGGTCTGGTGTCTGAGGTTTCAGTTAGTGTAGTAGAGTGAATAAGCCCTGTGGTGAAGGCAGCTGATCCAGTGCTGGATGTGAGAGAGTCCATGCTGACATCACTCTGATTGAATTCCACTGGACCGATGGGATATGCAGTTTCTGGACTGATCACTGGGATGACAGGGGATGTAGGCTCTGCACTGGTCCCCGGGCTGAAAGGATATGGAGTCTCCAACAGGCTGCCTGCAGAGTGAAAGAAAGACAGTGTCAAACTGGAAAAGCAGATGAGGAATATTATGAATGTGAACAACATGACTCACGCACAGCTGTCTAAAACTCCTGAGGTTACACAGGTGTATACAGCTGTGCCAAAACAATACTGACATCTGGGACGGGAATCTTTATATCATCATATCCCAATACACTAAAATCTGAGCAGTAAAAAAAAAAAAACAACGAACATGGCTTTATGACAGAATAAATAAATCTTAAGATTTTAGATCGCTATAAACTATAATTTGTGTGATTATCTTTTGTGGAAACAAATCACTGGAAACCACAGAGAATGGAGCAAACAAGATGAGCTCACTCCCTCGCTATGAGCATTTGTTTCCTGTTAAAACATTGAATACTCCACAATTAGTGGAGAGCAGCCAATGCATAATCAAATTTTGTTTAAAAACTTAATTAACGTGAATGTGTACATGACACTGTTTTTATAAAGCTCAGCTCTCCAGAGGTCTAGATCGTGTGGTGTCATCCAAGTGTCTGCAAGCCCCGACATTAATTTAGTAAGGGAGTTTCAGGTTTGGGTCAGGCCTGACTGACTGCATTAGGTCAATGAGTTAATTTTCTCTCTTTCACTCAACACATAGCATCCATACTGCTACTTTGTCCTGTTCCACTCTCTTGATTTTCTTTTCCACTCATGTGGTCAGAAGCACCCGTCACCCTGACCTCAGTCTGAAATGCTGACCACTTAAAAACAAAACAAAAGCCCTTACATCAGTGAGTGAACCAGACTCTGACCACAGCTTTAGCCTTCACTGCAATGTTGTTTTGAAAGTAGTAAAACAAAAGAGTAAAGGAAAACATTGGAAATGACACTGTGAGTGACATTTGCATCTGTATATGTAATATAACATGTGTACATGTGTGAATGTACCTACCAGTCTCTGAATACGATGAGTCAGTCATAGTGTCTGGAGACTGGCCGCGAATTAGACTACTCGATTCCTCTGATTCCTCCTCTTCTTCTTCTTTCATCACTTCATCATTGTCTTCTTGCTCATCCTCCTCTCTGCCTCTTCCTGTGTATCTCTCCTTCCCCTCTTCTTCCTCCTCATCCTTCCCATTGTTGTTAAAAGAGGCTTTTTGGATGAGCCTGCGCCCTCCCCCCACTTCAATTTGTGAAGGACAGAGACTTTGATTTTGTGAGTTTGTTTCGTTGAGGTTTTGAGTTTGGGCAGAGACAGTGTCAGGGTTGGGGAGGTTATCGCAGAGGTCTACGCCGTCCACAGGAAGTTGCGACATTATGCTGCTCTGGGTCTCACACCAACCTGGAGGTTAAATCAGTTATGAAATGAAATAACGAATGATGTGAAATTGCATAATGATAAGCTCCCTGTATAATTTAGGTCAAACTTTCAGTTTCTGCTACTTGACACAAATCAACCACTGCTGCATCGAAAAAAGCACCAGGCCTTTCTCATCGTCAGCAGCTTTTAGCTGAGGTTATTTTTATCATAACCCACATCCAATCAGTGTTTGTTTTTGAGGTCGCTGTTCTTAAACACTTTGAGCTTATATTTAGTGTTATGCTTTAACAAAATCTAAATGCTCACCACCACGATCCATTGGGCTCCGCCCTCCCAGTGTCTGACCTTTTAGCCTGAAGGTCAGTCCTGCCTGTTAGACAAGCCCTTCTTCAAGCCTGAGACAAAAGACAGGCAGATATGGGTAACCAAATAAATGGAACACAGATAAAGTCAGATGTCACACTGAGATGAGAGTGAGAAAGGGAGGGACACAAAACAAGTTTAGCTTCATTCCCAAGTCATCAAACAAACCCTAGAGCTTAAAGAGATTTAAATCTCTTTAAGCCCCACCAACCACCAAAATTTGTCCCACCAACAGATTTTAGCGCAGTGGAATATGTGGACACACAAAAACATGCATAACATTGTACATCTTGTTAATATAGGATGTAGTTAATATCTAAAAGGAAACCTGAAACCTCTCTGTGAATCAAAAATACCAGTAAACATCTGAGAACAGGTTTTGCAAAACAAAGTGTGGAGAAACAGACAGAGAGAAGAAGGGGGAAGAACAGGAATACGGTTCGTATGAGGAAGATTTATCACATGAAGACAGAGGTATCAATGTCTGAATAGAAAATAAAAAGTAATTGCCTCACAGAGATAAGTTATGCATGGAAATTCACAGAAATATATAATTAATCATATATTGTTAACCCCTCTTTAGAAAATAAGAGAAACAAAACTACATTGTAATCAACACTGCAAAATATGGCCTAAAAAGACTTAAACACACTTCTGGTAGAAAAAAAATTACTTTCCATGATGGGATTTACTGCACGGCTGTTTGTAAATGTTTACCAACTGGTAAGTTGTTGTACAGTGTAAACCAGTGTATTTTGCAATAAAATGTGTTTTCATTTTACTGCCATTGTTTGGGTTTACATTTGACTTAACAACAAACTGAATGCAAAACACTAACAGATGCAAAAACATTGTTCCTGACGCGTTAAGAACAACATCTCCGGCAAATCACACGGCTGCAAGCGGCTGAGCCTTACTGTTGGTTATTGTACCATTACAACCGATTTCTGGACCGATCCAATTTAAATATTTGGATCTAACATACAGAGCAGCTTTTTACTACACTTATGGGGATATGTTGACTCCATGACATGAAACCATTTTGGTTCTTTCTGTCTATTTTACTTTTGAAGCTTATGGTTATTTGCATACAAAACATGGCCCCAGAGAAGCACCTAGGGAGATGAATCTGTGAACAAATCATCTCTGAAGCCTACTGTCCCCGAGAGGAGAGGACCTATGGGGTGATGTAACCATATTGCATTTAGATTGCATAAGCTTTCTATGTTTTAATATCTTTCACATATGTACTATACACCATTGAAGTGCAAAGTCTACTTTTCCATATATGAATATGCCTTTTCAATTAAAATAGAACCAATTGTACAATCAGAGGCTGTTTTTGACTTTATTTACTTGAAGCTCTAAAATTCCCTCTGGACGATTCAACAGTCCCACACAATGACAAACAATGTTGACATTAAGGCTTACGCAACAACAGATTCCAGATTACTAACACAGGTGTTTCTGTATCTGTCACAAATCTTTATCATGCACTGTGGGGGTTCTTTTAAAATCTAATTTTAATTGTCCTCTCCCACAGAGTCGTCTGTCCACACCACCATCTATCCTGTCTTCTTTTTTTGTCTGGTCTCTCCAGGGGGTCAATGAATAATGAAAGACAGGAGAGGGGACAAACGGACAAGGGTATTCAGCCTGAAGGACAAACACAAAGGTGGAAGAAATAGACCCTGTCCTGTGAGAGGCCACATGACACAGACAGGAGCATAGTTTTTAAAAGAAACATGGAGACATACTGTGTGAGAGACATCAGCTTGTGTTGACATCAATTATCTAAAGGAATCCAGCAACTTTAAAAATCTTTTCTGTTGTCATTGAAAGAGGTGAAGGCTTAAGTGTGTGATCGTCAGTCCAGGACAGAAAGTCTCGATGCTCGGTTCAGTGTGTGTTGTGGTGTATCTTCAATGTTTCCACATGTTACATTGGCAAAGTGTTCCAAGTAAAAACAGCTAAATGACACAGTGTGGTCACACAGTGGCACTTCCTCCGTAATTTACGTAACGGACACTGATTCCATTTACGTCAACTGAGCAGCGACGTTACTTGTCTCATTAGCCGAGCCCCAGTTTGATTTGGAATAAAATGACAAGCAGCTTCACTTAGGTTGAATGTAAAAACCCGTCCGGTGACATTTTAGCTTGTTTGCTATCATTGCTGTCGCTTCCATGACATGCTTCAACTCTTCCCATCGAATAACATCGAAGCTAACAAATAACTAGCGGGTGTTAAACCAACGCTGCTGAAAAGAAGAATATCAACGAAGCTACGGTGACAAACAAGCTAGTGTTAGTGTTAATGTGTGTTGCTGCCGCTAGCTAACGTGAGCTAGCCGACTGGACACATCTGGGCAGCACACCGCGGAGAAAACACCTCGTTAGCTTTGCGTAGAACGCGTGAGCTTTAACGTCACTACACATGTCCGGCTGCTGTGAGACAAACCAGTAACACGGTTCTTACCGTTGAAGACGCGCTGTGGACACAGGGACTCGGACATCACACACCTTGCTCTGGATGTTGTTGTAGAGACTGCACGTTTCATGGACTCACCGCCAGGGGTCGCTGCCACAGCTGTCCCCAGAGCCTACACTCCACTGCTGCTGCTGTTGCCGCCTGGTGTCTCTTCTTTGTTGGTTCAACACATCTGTCCCATAGACTGTATATAAAGAGATCTGTCCAGTACTTTTTCTCCAAACTGATCTACTGTCGTTTTACGGTGATTGCAAACATGGCTGCTGGATTAGAGATGAGCTCTAAGAAACTTCAGGCCACATCACACTGGACCTCTCCAAGAGACCTGCCCCACATCCATCTACTGCAGGGCTTTTCAGTGTGGGGCGCGCCTCCCCTAGGGGGCGCCAGAGTTCTTTCAGGGGGGGGGGGGCGAGATTGTGGTGATGGGAGGTGTTGAAAAAGAAAATGTGATGTGTTTAAAAAAAACAAAGATGTTTGAAATTTCTAAATAAGATGTCATAAAAGTACAGATGTTTGAATGTGTAAAAATGTGTTCAACAACCAACGATTCAAGTATGAATGGAACATTAATAAAAGCAACAGCAGAAAAAAGGGAGGGGGGGGCAGTTGTTTATTTGCTCCATGAGGGGGGGCTAACCCTCCCACACACTTTGAAAACTCTCCCACACCAGTTGGATTGACATCACTACTCTTCCTGGCCTGCTGTGATCACCAACTGGTTCCCTCGGCCTCCCTCTTCTCTCTGGCATATTGTATATGAGTGCATGTGCTGTGTTGCATTGCACCGCGCTGCACAAGAATCCTGTGTGACAGTCCTGACTCACTGCAGAAAAGCACAGGAGTYARTCAATTCAATGCATTTGTTTAGCACCATATAACAACATACATTATGTCAAAGCACTTTGGGGGGGAGGGGGGACATGACATCACCATGCCATTGATCCTCCATGCCACTGATCCTCCATGCCATTGATCCTTTCATGTCTTTGATACATGATACTTTACCTTTGACATTGTATGGTCATTAGGCTCATTAGCAGAGGCACAAAACAAGAGAGGCAGATTTTTTCTTCATTCTGATCCCCACATATTCAGAAAGGAACAAAACCCAGCAACATGCCCTTCCTGACCCTTGGTGTCCTTGTAGGCACTGCAGTTACTAAAACTGTGAAGAGTCTGTATGACCATTTCCTCCCACCTGGAGAGAAAAATGTAGCAGCACCCATGCTAACTACTGAACTGCCTGAATGGGAAACGAATGTTGAAGAGGCAGATGCCAATCCATTGGCCACTGTAGAGTCAGAGCCTGCAGCTGTGTTCGAAGTTGCTACGGCTTTCACTAACGCTGCACACGCTGTGAATAGGGCCGTAGCAGAACTGAGAAGGGCCTGCCCCACCTCTATTTTTTCAGGTGATACAGCGCCAATGGAAGAGACCAGTGCTGCAGCTGTGTGCAACCTTTCGGAAGCGGCAGACGCTCTGTATAACTCCTCAGTAGAGCTGCACCAGGCCGGTGATGATGTTGCTGTGTTTGACACCCTCAACACTGCCCTCAACGATACAGCTCTAGAGGATGATTCCAGTGCTTCAGCTGTGCTCAATGTGGCTGTCGACTTGTACAGTGCTGCAGATGCTTTGCACAAAGTCACATTAGCATTGGATTGGACCAGTGCTACAGCTGTGTGGACCTTTGCTGCAACTTGGCAAAATGCTTCACTCGCTACATACAAAGCTGCAGCAGCACTGCATGAGGCCAGTCATGCTAAAACTTTGTTTGGTGTAGTACAACCTCTCTTATATGTAACAGAAAGAGTGGATGTGAACAGTGCTGCAGCTTTGTCACCTGTTGCCACAACTGTTTGACGGAGCAGGTGATAGCTTTGGAGTTTTCATCTTTCGATGAGACCGGTCCAGCTCAATCCAGGGAGGATGGAAAGTGTCAAATTAGAAATAAATAAAATTGAACAATATCTGCTTAGTATCTATTTTCTTGTACATACCAGTAGGATTGCACCTCAGTTGAGGGGGAGGGGGGGACATGACATCACCATGCCATTGATCCTCTAGTTTATTTTCAAAGTCGTCAGCTGCTCATGACAAATATCCACATCATTCCAACTTGATGCATCACACTGTGTCCTCTGTAAAGTTGTTTACTCACAAAGAGAAATCATTTGATTGGCTTCCTAGATTTTAACCATTTATCCTAGAATAACAGATTTTTAAGCTGGTGAACATCAACAAATAACTGTACCTGTCTTCTCATACGTGTACCCCTGCTTCTATAACCTTATTTACTTGTTTACTTTTCGCATGCATTGTTATATCCAGATAGATTTTCCTGTTTTGTATGTTTCTGTTCTATATGTAGATTTATTATGCTTTACAGCGGTTGTCAATGTTATGCCTGACTCCTTTGTACCAGAGAAAGCAGCAGGACAGAATCATTTGCACAGCCTCAAAAATCATCAATTGCAAACTCACCCCCATTTCTGACATATAAGAACCTTGCATTCAGCACAGAGGTCTAAAAATACCCCAGGTCTCTATGCACCCTGCCAACCCCCTCTTAATAACGCTCCCCTCAGGGAAAAGACTCAGGGCCATCAAAACTAAGACTTTCCATTTCCTCAACAGAACTTACTGTAGAACCAACGAAGCACTGAATGGCTCCTCAATCCACACTTGTAATGCAATAACTACCTCTGATTATTATTGTTTTTTTGTATTTTTGTGTATTTTTAAGCAAATTGCAAACGAAGTATTTAATCTTCCTAAGATGCAGTTTTTCATTCACTGACAGAAACTTTCTAATTCTCTTCCTAAAATCTCTTCTACAGTAGTAATATATCTGCAAACTCTTTTCCATGAAACCACTATCTAAACCTTACGACCTATATATGCACCCCTGCTTCAATAAGTTTCTTTGTTTTATTCATTTTTTCCCATGCATATTTATATAGATGTATTTATATGCATGCTTTTTTCAATAACAATATATATTTATTTTTTTAATGAGTTTACTGTATGCGACCAGTCTGGATAAAGCCATATTACTCACCAATGATGGTAAAACATAAAATAGTTCTGCCATTTGATTGTCATAATTTAGATTTAATCATTTATTTAAAAATTATATTAGACACACAACTTAAACATTGCTTAAAGCATGACATTTTAGACATACAGGAGTTTATACGTTCACAACCAAAATACAAAAATATACAAGACATGATTCTATACAGTGAAAAACTTCCTTTACATTTGCAATCCTCATAGCTGTGCATTAACCACACTACTACTGACCTCAAAATGTCAGTTTAGAAAATGATTTTAGAAGACACTTGCAGAACTATGTTTTGTGAAGCTGCTGTCAGCTGCTCTAGTATTATTTTCATTTGCATGAGCCGATGTATCCATTTTTTAGCCATTTTGGACAAGCTGCTACTGTGTTCATGCACGCATCCATCTTATGTTGGATACAACAAAAATAAGATGTTTATTTTTGCAACAATCTTTAAATCCTTTAATTTCTGGGACAATTTGATGAAAAGCAGACTGCATACAGTATCTTGTGAGATCCAAATAGAAACTATTTCTGATATAGTTTTTGTCTGAAATCTCAACTCATGGGAAACTTGGTTAAGGAAAACAGTCTGAGACATTTGAAGTTGTTTCCTCTAAAGTACATTTTCTTCATTTCAGTAACAAAATGTTTATACAGTCAAGTTGTTGATTTCATTAATGTTTTACTTATCTTTTATACATTTCTTTATGTATGCATATCCCACACTATATAACACAAACCTTTTTACTTAAATCATCATTTTGTCATACATATGCAAAAAGGTGCATAGAAAAATGCATCATTAGGTGTCGTTATTCCACAAATCTCTACATGTGACGCGTTTGACTATATTTTACCCCCAACCCTCTCTCTGTGTGTTCTCCAGGATCTCCTCGTAAAGCCAGCTCTGTGTGAACTCCTGGCTCTTGTCCATCAACTGGAACAGCTTAAGATACTCCTCTGGAAATACGTGTCCCGTCAGAATGTCCTCCGACATGCCCATTTCAGATAACAGCTTACTCCCGCTATCTGGTGACCAGAGACTAGAAGAAGAAAAGAACAAAACACCAAAGAGGGAGATGATCAACTCAAACAGCTTGCAACATTACTACAGTATGGATGCACTTGAGTCTAAAGCTGCTTTCAGACATACACTGAACTCCAGATATTGTCCTGAAATAACCAAGACGGGCTGATGTGAAAACATAAATGTCCTAGTCAGAGTTTTTCTGCCCCCCCCCCCACAGCAGAAGATTCTCAGGATAAAAAAGAGGTTTCATACACATAGAAGACACAGAAGATGTCAACTTGAAAAGACAACAACATTTGAGAGCTTTTTGTGAAAAAAAGCTGATGCCGACGTCAATGTGCTGGAAACAAAAACCACAGCAACATTTATACGTAACATCCTACATGCTCTACCCAGGGGCCACCCTCCCCTGATTTTTCCAGAAATGTCCCTGTTGTCGGGAAAGCTGCGAACCTAGAGAATCTCCTGCTGCTTTTTTCCCCATTTAAAAGGTTAAGCACATAGAATGTCTACAAACAATTGTCCGGTCATTTTCCTGAGTTCATGTCTGAAAACAGCTCAAGTCTGGTTAATTCAACATGAGCAGTGTGTGGGCTCAAAGCCTGTGTGTCTGCTTCAACAACTTACTTGAGCCTGTCAATGAGCTTGACCTTCCTCTTTGCCAGACACTGTTTGACCATCATCAGCAGAGTTGAAGCATTAGAGGGAGTGAGGCCATCAGAGAACAGATCAGCTCGTGGACGCAGACGCACCAGGCAGAGGTGGTCATTGGGAAGCTGAGGGAAAAATGTTTATGTATTAATTTTGTTTCTTCAGTCAAGTTTAAAGTGAATTTAGAAATGATTCTGACCCCTGCCTGCAGAGACCAGTGACAGGACTGTGTCAGGGCACAGATCTGGGGAAAAACTATTCTGCTGCATTGAAGGTTATCAAGAGAACAGTGGCCTCCAGTTCTTAAATAGAAGTTTTGAACAAATCTTATTTTAGCATATGGCTGCAATATAATATAATATACAATATAATAACATTTTCAAAGGGGGAAGAAGGGGTGTGACTTTATTCCACATGTACCGTACATGTATGGCCATTGAGATCGCACTCTTCCTTACCTTGCCTTTAGGTCTAGGTACACCCTGTTTTGATGACTTTACAAATGATTCCCAGGGCTCCTACAAAGACAGAGATGAGAAGTTTGACAACTAGACAACAACTAATGTTGAATATGTGTGAAAACTTGACATTTTTTGTAGTTTTATTCCATGCATTAGCTTAAGGAGGTATATAATGAAATTATGTAACATGCTTTTGTCTGTTTTCACTACAAACTGCTGTTTAAATGTCAACCTAATTGGTTTAAATACATTTACATAATCCATGTTCTTTGCCACCCTCCCTCATACTGTACCTTGTGCAACAGATCAATGTCACAGGACATCTGCCAAAGGACACTGAAGGCTCTGTAGTTAAACATGCTGCCTGGACGTGCCATCAGTTTCTGATGAAGACATAATTTCAAAGATTTAAACCAAGTATCAAAGAAACTTTTAGATTATGGATCCATTTAAGCTACCAGATAACAGTCTCCTCAGTATTGACAAGTGATTGTGTTGTCAGCATGATCAGAAATGTAGTGTAGATCATGATGAGGGCAGATGGAACAAACTTCATCCTCAAGCAGACAAAATCAGATATCAGGTTATTCTCTGATCAGTACACTGACTGACACTCTTTCATTTCTAAAGGTAGAGGTATAGAAGCTCCAATTTTTTTTTACCAGGTATTCCTTCTCGCTCATGAAGATATTGAGCTCTACCCTTCCATATCTGTAGACAGACAGCCTTTCATACAAAGCGTAAGCCATCTTCAGCAGCGCGCCACGCTCATTACGCTGGGGCAGGATGCCCACCACCTTCACTGGGATGTCTAGAGAGAGAGACACAGAAATGCATTAACACAACCCACTTCAGAGGAACACTAAACACTGCACCGTGTTCATCTACTTCAATATGTGAGAGCTAAGTTTTTTTTTTTTCAACCATTGGTGATTAATATTTGAAACCAATGAGCTGCTATCAAGTATTCTCGTTATCAAATATTACAAATAGACAAATAACAAAATTATTTTATATGTATATATTAGACATTTTTTTAGGTCTGCTGAACTGTTCACATGTGTGCATGTTTTCCTTTTCTCACCATCAGTCCAGCTACTCTCTGATATCCCCAGATCAGTGAAGAGTTTTTCACTGAACATGACAGAGGGCCCCATGCTTCCAGTGCCAATAGGATCTATTTTAAAGTAATCACAGTGAACCACCTCCAGCTGACCATCGAGTTGACTCTCTAAATTCTGCAACATGAAAACATATTGTATTTGTTTAACTGCTATGTGATGGAATATGATGAATTGAAATAGCACCTGACATTTACAGTGATTAAGGATAGAGTTTAAATTCCTAGAGATGTTTGTGTCACCTGTAGATCATGTAGGAAGGACTTCTCTCCTTCAAGAGCCACAACTCTCTGAGCTCCAGCATTGAGGAGTGTCCGAGTCAACACCCCAGGACCTAAGAAAGATAGACAAGCACACAGCCGATCAAATGTGTTGTTTCACTGACAAGAATAATCTATTGTGGACAAACTACTAATGATCAAAATATATAATTTCTCTATTGCATCCTGTTGAATTTTGATTTTTGTCAAATTGGATAAAAGATGCACAGTAAATTAACTTAATTCATACATTTACTCCTCCTCCACTCTGATGTAATCATTGCACAAATACATACCTGGGTTACAATCGAAGATAACACTTTTATTCTTCTCAAGTTCTAGATGCTGTGCCACTACTTTAGCCAGGTCTGGGTCCACAATAAAGTGTCGGATTGTTTTACAGGCCATAGCCCGACGTACATTCTCTTCTACGTCCCCGAGGTCCAGGAAGTCATACTGGCACAATGGACGACTTTGGACCTGAAGAAAAACATAAATGCATAAGGTGAGAAAACAATTAACATGTGAAATAAGCTGACATTATATTAGGATTGGCTGTCTTTTATCTGTATATAAGTACTTAACATATAACTATTATTTAGGTATTTTCCCATAATTTGCACCATATAAAGTCGTAGATGAAATATACATTAGTAAAACCATAGCAGACAGGTTCATTAATTTGCTCTACTCCATCTCAATGAGGTGTTGGAGGATGACTGCCTCAAGTGAAGCAAAGTCAAAGACGACTGCCTACCTGCACAGCCGCAGCCGACAGGTTCCTGTGTGCAAGTGCTGCGGACGGGGACGTCCTCTCTGTGCGGGGCTGCTGTGAACTCGAACCGAGTGTGGGCCGACCAGGGCCAGAAGAGAGAGAGTCTAGGCTGTAGGCCCTCCTATGAAGCACAGGAACACAGAGGCCAGGGGGACCCACTGGGGCCAAACCTGCCTTTCGCAAACAGGATCTACTTCTAATGGTGTTGCAGCAAGCAGAGCGCATCACCAGCTCCACCACTCGAAATATCTGGATGGACATGCTGAAGCAGTGAAGTTTGACGACAGGGGATGGGCAGAGGGAGATTTAAGGCCCTCTCTAAGATGTCTCCACCTGGAGGGAATAGAGAGGGAAAGGGACCAGGAATGTTGAGATTAACAACAGCAACAGACAATAATATGAACTTAAACATGCACCATCAGTTTGAACTGTACCTGTGTAACATGCGAGAATTCACAGACATATTATCGAAAACTGTTTAAACATCAGGCCAAGTGTTTACATGACCTATCTAAAATGAACAACGGACAGCTAAACTAATAATAATCAACTCTGAATATCTAAATAATATTGGATTCATGCTGTAAACAAAACCGTGTAACGGTGACTACATGCTGTACTGTTAGCACGTGTTCGGGTGAACCTCCACAAATGTTAGCTTAACCCGGTCGACCTCACTCACAGGAGGTGTCCACTGTCCACTGCGAGATCACAGAGTCACACACAGAGACACACAGGTACACACACCTGCCAGGCTCCATGTTACATGATCGTGGTGAACAGTTTACGGACGCTGCTAGCCACGTAGCTAGCCGTGCGCTAACGCCACTGAAAGCTACGGCACAAACTGCATTCAATGTGGTTCTACCGGGAGCAACGTACACATACCCACTTGTAGAATCTCTCGTATATCCTAATATCCCATCAGCAGTGATGTTTAGCGGGCTCGGGTCTGTCTGTTGGCTGGAAAAGCTCCGTGACATTGAGCCCTGATCATCCTGACCCCCCGATGCTTGTTTTTGCTGCGCTCTCGTGGAGTTGCACTGCGCACGCTGTTGACGTAATTGACAAGCGACATGTGCGACGACCAATCAAAAACTCGAGGAAGTTGTCACCCTAATATGCGAATTTAAAGATATAAATGACAAACGATCGTTGTTTTAACTCGTATTTCTGCTCACATACAAGCTGCTTAGGAAGCACATATTTAACATAACGCACTTCTTTACGTGTGATCGTTAAGGTAGCTAAAAACTACCGCTGGTGTTCACATCTGTTAGCATATTAGCATAGTGTGGCTAGGGAAGCAGAGACAGCAGCGTTGTTAAAAGCACAGACAGGCGGATCGCTCCACCTCAGTCCGTCAGACCCACACAGAGGTGAGCTCCTCCAGCCTGCCTCCTGTCACCATGGCACGCGTAGAGACGTCCTCCAGCAGGCCATACCACCTGGTTATCTTCGGAGCCTCCGGCTTCACGGGGCAGTTTGTGGTGGAGGAGGTGGCCCGGTCCGTGTCCGAGGGTCCGAAGGGGAACCTGAAATGGGCCGTGGCCGGCAGGAGCAAGCAGAAGCTGGAAAAAGTTATGGAGCAGGCCGCCGGGGTGCTGAGTACGTACCTGAACAGAACCGGGACATGTGTGTGTTCCAGCAGGGAACGTTTGTTTATTCCATTTGTCCATCTGAGATCACAAGTCCAGTGAGTCTTCTGTCTCTGGAGAACTCAACCTGAAGGGAGATTATTCAGTCGAGGATGATCGATCTGAATTTGACACGCAGATTATGATCAGATTGACATGATGACTTTGACCCTGAACTCTAAAGTCTAAGCGAGGTTGCAACAGAAAGTTTACAATTTTTAAAATGGTCAATTATCACAATAACTGATAATAAATGCTAATTAATAAATCAAGCCATACCTATATTAAATCTTTAAAAAGTATGTATGCTCAAGATTATATATCTGCATTTGTGTACTTATTCTTGTTGTTGTAGAAATGAACACTTGCTGAAACTGCACCCAGCAAATGGTTGATATTTCTTGCTTAATACTGTAAAAGCTTAGTCAGAGTATATTTTCAGATGGTCAGCTCTGTTTCAGTATTCGATGACTCCAAAGATAGAAATTAGAGCTGCAATTAATCTGTTCTTTACCAGATCTTTAATGGCAGGGGGTGCAACTAACAGTCACAGTCAAAGATAAACAATTCATAATCACACACATTTATAAACCATTTAAATTGACAAATAATTGTGAAAATACGTAGCCATTGCTTTATTGCGTGATCATTTCAGCTTAATGCCGTTAATATGTGAAATATTTTACAAATACAAATATTTACTTTACACATTTAGTATGCCAGTAATTTTCCAGGGTGTCGATTTGTATCCAAGCAACATGCTAAACATGGAAAATCAAGTCCAACACCAGATGAAGACCAGGGAGTGATTCTGCTGTCATGATAGTAATGTGAGTTTCCAGAGGATTAGATAGTTATTCTGTTGTCCCCTCCTCTTTGACGCTTCTTTTCAGGGAGTGTGCAACAGCTGATGGAACATCAATTCTCTGCCAACACACACACACACACACA